GCGGAGCGGAGCGGCTCTTGGCGTGCCAGCCGCAGCTCGGTGCCCTGCGCCCCTCCGGCCACGGTGCTGAGCGCTCACCCCTGTCCCAGGGGATGCTCCTCGCTGGCTCTGCACGCAGCCTGGTACAGCTCCTTGCTGGCTCTACACCCTGCCTGTCCGTGCAGGGCAGCCCAAAACGGGGTACACAGGCATTGCCAAGAGAAATGAAATCCTACAGGACACCAGAAAGGAGTTGCCTTGCCCAGCTGTCCCCCCTCACCCACCTGACGTGCAGCCCTTGCATTCAGCTGGAAAGCACTGCAGCATCTGTGCTTCCCCATGCAGAAGATGTCAGAGAATAAATCAAGTATCGGAGCAGATATGAGTCATTTGTGTTCGTATGAAAACTACAGAACGAGCCCCATAAAACCAGGAACCCGTGCATAAAGTAACATATGGAATGAATCGAAGATAAGATGTCAAATGCTGGGAAGTCCAGTGCACGTGTTGTAAGCAATCTCTCCTATGCGTTTCCCACCCGCTGCTCCCAGTCTTGTTATTTCCTGCAGTTGTTTTGTGTCACTTGCTAATTTATCACTTGTGATCCTCACTCTCTGTCCTCCTCTGATTAATTTCTAGGGCTCGCTAAGTCCTTTTCCCCTAACGTAATCCATGCCTCTCAGGCCCAATTTTCACAGAAACATGCTCAGATAAAGATTTCATTAGCATCCACAAATGGGGAAATTCACTTTGTTTTCAGGCCACCTGACTCTGAAGATTCTCTACCAGAATGATGAAATCCAGGTCCAGCAGGCAGGCTTGGGTCTCCCTATTTTCTTCCCCAAAGCATTGCTTTGTACCTCGGACTGAAGGATCGCTCACCTATGCCACATACCTACAGACCACCTGAGAAGCTTCCAGCAGCTGAGGTGCATCCGTGGTAGCATTTCACATGATTTATCTTCTTGTTATCTTGCACCTACCCCAACTCTTGGACGTGGACTGTCCGCCACCTCTCACATACCTCCCTCTGATCCCTTTGGGACAGGAATCACTTTCAAGCCCAAAATATGCTCTTTCCCCAAGTAGAAAATAGGCAGCAGTGCTTTCCTGTCCCAGACAAAGTTACCTGGGCTGCCATATATAATGCAGCATTCCCCCTGGCATTTTTGCAGAGGGTGCTGGTCCCTACCAGACCTTGCTGCTCCATGCTAGGAAGTAGAAAAGATTTTCCAGATAAAGGCACCTAGCTGTTATCATTTAGAGGTGGATTTAAAAACCCCATCTTTTTTGTAATTCAGATTTTCATTTGTAATATATTATAAAATATAACGGGAAATACAGAAAATATAAAGGAAATACACTACAAATTAGATAGCAGGAAAGATAATAAATAGGCTGACCTGACAGAACTACGATCAGATAATGCTCTTATTACCTTGAGAAACAACTCCCTCTGCTGAGGGAAAGCTTTACTGGCAGGGCTCAGCGTGGTGATGAATAACCTAGCAGAGATAATGGGCAAAGGCCTCATCCTTCCCTGCTGTCACCACCGTTATGCCAGCAAGGAGCATCTGTCACCGTGCCATGGTGACAATACACAAATCCTTGCCTGACAGAGCTGCTTCGTGCAGATGTCCTGCAGGGAGACGGAGATCTAAGGAGCTCGGCTTCTAGGAAAGTATATTCCCACTGACTGCTGAAGGTACGGTGTGCATGTGTATGCTGGGACAGAAAATGCATTGAGCAGGCAATAGCAAAGGCTACTTAAACAAGAATGAGGCAAGAGTACAAATCTTCAGGTGAGGTGTTAAAGTCAGACTTCCAGAGACTCATATGCAAATCTTACTACGATTCAGTAAAAAACATGGCAAGAAAAATATGTTCTGTTTTATTACCGATAGCTGTATCTTCCCTATTTTTTCCTAATTTTTCATCTGCCAATCTCAGCAGCTTCACAAGGGAGATTAATAACATACTACCTATCTCCAGGAGAGCAGCAGCAGAGACAGAAAGAAATAGTCTAGGAAATCCTTTTACAATCCAAAAATTTAGCATGGGCAACCACAAATGTATAGAACTGCAGAGCACATAGCACTATACGTTTGTACAGAACCAGTGTTTGTACAGAACTCACCACTGTTTATGGCAGCAGAGCTTCTTCATGCCGAGGTGCTGCTTGTGGCAGCAGTTATGACAGAATGAATTTTGTTGTTGTTGTTGTTTTTAATCTTTATTTTTTAAAAAACAAAAGGCTGTGCCTTTAAAGGTAGTACTGTGACAATACACGGCTGTACAGGGAAATGGATTTCATTCAGTGGCCAACAGTACAATTATGGTCCCTGATCCCTGCTCCAGGCTTGGAAAAAGAAGCAAATACAGAGATTTGTTTTCACTCCTCTGGAAATTCCCCCTGGAAGGGTGTGTTCTACACTTACTGAATTTAACCACAGCGAGGACAGGGCTAGGAGAAGAGTGAGCACATCAGGCTGCTCTAAAACAGAGGTTCTGGCAAGTGCTGAGTGTCTCACAAGAAGCCCATCTCTCCATTGTCCCCCAGCAGCCAAGGTGCCAGGTACTAGCAGGGGCTGCAGGGGGAGCAAACCAACACGTGGCCGTGACCCTGGCACCACCCTGATGGCCCCGACCTGCTCCCAGGGGATGCTTCAGAAACCATTCGACAGCGCTGCCTGCCTAGGTGCGGAGTTGTACTTTGAATGCGTCTTTTCCGCTTGGGCAGTGATATCACTTCTGCACATCCTTGCCCACAGTTACAATCCAAAAAGAGAAGTGGAGGAATTCGTTGGCACCACTGGAATTGTAAGCAGACCTTTTTCAGTAACTGTAAAGTTGTGGGGTTTTTTAATTAAGCCATAAGCGTTTTTCTCTAGCAAACTTTCCACAATGGCATCTCCAGTTAATTAAAGGTTTAAACTGTCAGAACAGACTATGCATAAAAAAAGTAAAGAGAGGCGCTACTTTAATAGCATTTGTTAATTAAAGCTCTGGTCAGTTGCAGGAACAAAAGCTGTTCTGCAAATAGATGGGAACCAGAACACCTCCAGATCTTCATCTGCAGCTCCCACCTTCAAGCTAACTTGTGTGACACTGATGGAGGAAACGCTGAGATCCCTCATTGCTGGGATGAATGCAAAGACATCGCCATTGGGAGGCTGGAGGACCCTACCTTCCACAGGAAATTCTCAATTACTACAAGATATTTTGCTTCTTTAGCAGCCGTAATCAAGCAGCCACTATTTGCACTAAGTTTAGTTCACATTCTCCCCAGGCTTTGTCTCCACTTGCTGGAGCACAGGTTTTCTGGCTTAGCTGCAGCTGTTTCACTCACTCCAAGCACTCTCAGGGGCTGGATGGTGCCAGTAGAGGAGGTGTGGGAAGAAAGGCCAGAGCAGGGGGAGATTTGAAGCGAGACACGTTGGCTTCAGCATGTGGCTGGGGGGACGTGCTGAGAAGCACAAGACCAGATGTGGTAGCTCTTCTGCTGTGGTAGATGGTTTATGGACCAAGTTGCAGAAAGAAAGAGAAAGTGGGGGAGAATGGTGAGGGCAAATGGGTGAGGGCAATCACTGTGCAAACACAGCACAGGGCAGATGAATCTTTACCTGCAGTACCTGAGCCTGTAAGGTCCTTGGCACCCTGCAGTCCTCATTGCAGCTGCACCCATGCTCCCAGGGGACTCCGGTACCACAGCAGCAAAGTGGGAAGGCAGTGGGGCACCAGGAGGCAGCGCTGCTCAGCTGGTTCCCAGGAAAACAAGCTCCAGGAGATGGTGCTCCTGCGTGCATACGGATACATCCTCCATCTCTAACAGAAAGCAAAGAACCCTGCCAGCATTCAGAGCAAATCCTCTTGTTATTCTCAATACGTTGAATCAGTCATTTTATCCAGCTGCAGGACTGCGTCCCTTAGACACATTCAAGAACATAATTGCAGTTTGGACAGGTGACATTCACAACAGAACAAGTCAATTGATCAGTGAAAAAACAGTCAAAGCTTTGTCCTTAAATCACCTTTAATTCCTCTTTCCATTTGTGTGCAGGTGTTAAGCACATTTCAGAGCCAAATCTCAACTTCTGTGATATGTAAGCATGGCCTGACGCCAACCAGGATTTAGGCATCGATTAACACAGCTGGCAGTATGCAATACTGCCTCAAACTTCTTGTGAGAAGGAGCATTTTCACAGCTGGATGTCAAGTTTTAGCCTCCTCTTCCTCCTAGAGTTATTTTCATAGAAAATTGCCTGACTATTCAGCCCTCCCTTCTTCCAACAGATCTTAAAACCAAAAGGAATGAGCTACACACCATCTAACTTCTTAAGATTTCATCCACAATGTTTAGGTGAAGTGTCTCGAAATAGACATTTCTTCCGTACACAAGCAAATGCTTTAAGTATAAAAACAGTGACTGATACTTGATCAGGCCATCTCCTGTTCTCAAAGCGAAAGATCCAATGTGCTAACAACTAACCCCTTATCTCCTTGAAAAATAGTTAAAAGCCAGCAGTAACTCTTTGCAGAAAGCAGACATAACCTGAAATTCCATTTTTCTAGAGCTCTCGAACTTCCCCCAGTCCAGGTGATGGCTAATTTTCCTTTGGGAGCCTGGTCTTGCCTGCCACCAAAGTAACTTTATAGAAATTCAGGTTTTTAATTTTTATTTCATATCCGTGTAAACCTTAGCAGATCCATTGTGTTCTACAGGAAAACACACACACTGCTACAAATCCTGTCTACCTACAGGGGAACAATATTCTGTGCTGAACATGCTCAGGTGCACTAACATCTTGTTTCCCTTCACCATATCATTGTTGCTGGTTAGAAGACAAAGCAGTGGTTTGGTTTTCCCATCAGTAGGACAAAACGTTAAGGCTGCTGTTCAGAAAACAAATGTTTAATTGGACACATGATTTATCCTTCCCTACATAACGACTCATCATTAACATATTCAAACCTGTTAGAATTTGTTAGCCCCAGAGGCTCTTGTTGGATCAGAACAATCAATAGATGCAAACAGAGCAGGTAAAGAATCAATCTGGATGCTAAGAAGTTGAAACATTTTCCATTGGGAGCCATAACAACTCCTACCAAAAAGGCATTTCAACAGATGGTGCTATGACCAAGGGAAAGTCTAGGTAGCAGCAAGGCAGGTGAGGCACGCAAAATAAGAAATACATTTTGATTTAACTGCACAGAGCAGAGCTTCCTCGGGACAACAAGACATGCTCCGAACAGAGTAGGCTGTCCCACGCAGGAGGGTTATTTCACAGGGAAGTCTGTGTATGCCAGAAAATTGGAGGAAACTGTTCCAAAGGTTCAGGCTCTGATCTCTTTGCAGTAATGAGCACACAAGAAGATGATGCATATGCATGTGAACCTAATTAAGAGCGGTAAAGCCTGGAAGATTGTCAAATTTCTCGGCAATTACCAACTTAAACACACACAAAAATTAAGATGGCCTTATAAACAAAGGGAAGTTACTGTGCAAAGTGCCTTGCCTCATTATGGTTAGCTGAAGCTTGAGCAGCAGGCTAGCTAGCAGGGAGGGAGGGATGGAGGCAGCGGGGCGGCGGGGTGGTAGCTGCCTTCCATTAGCAGCAGGTGGTCTCCCTGGGATGGAGCCAGGATACTGACATCCTTCTGCTCTTGCTGAGGCATCTCAAATGCTCCCAAAATGCTTTATCAGAACAGAAATAGAAAGAGGAGGGCTCACGTGACTGACAGCTTGGGCTCCTCCGTTGCTTTTTGGGCCTTTCTAATGAAGAGCATTCATGGACAGAGAGCTACCCTGCGAAAATATATTCACTAAATAAATGTGGTAATTATACTGTATATTATTCACAGTAGAAACAGCAGTAGGGAAGTTATTTGCATAAGAAATGTGGATTATTCATGTAAATGAGTGTGTTATTTGCTTGTAGAAGAGATCAAGTCTTGCCTAAAGATGTAAAACTCAGCTGCAAGTAAAAACTAACATTTAGCCAGTGTCTCGTGCCCACTGTCCTCAGCCTGCCTTATCAAATCAAACTCTGCAAGTCTAGCTCTATTTTCCTCATCACTTCATTTCATTAGAGCTCATTGCTCAGTCCAAGCAATGGTTAATTTTCTTTTGGGAGCCTGGTTTTGACTGCCATTAAAATATCTTTGTAGAAACTCAGGCTTTTAATCTTTGTTTCAGCAAACAGATGCCAGTGGCAGGAGAACTGGGATCACAGAGCCTTTTGTTTTTATCCTCCACGTGCTGGGTGCGATGAGAGGCTCAGGTCCCAGTCCGGATCTGTCCTTGCAGCCTGGACACAGCCAGGAGGGGTAATTGTAACCCAGAACAAGCTAGCAGAGCCTGGCAGACCCCTGAGCTGGGGGAGGCACTGTATGCCCACCTCCTCCCCTCCATGCCACACCACAGCACACGAACTGGAGTTAACAGAAATTCTTTGATTGGTCTCCAAATTCATTGCTACCATTTTACATAATTTAATGAGTAGTATTAAAAAATGGCATCCCTGTACTGCCTTTCCACTGATTTTCTCCTGCATTTTTTTTTAAATTTATTTCCAGGTACTCTGCACTATTTAAAAAAAAAAAAAAAAAAAAAAAAAAAAAAGAGAGAAAGAGAGAGAAGAGAGAGATCAGAGTTCCTTCTGCTGCTCTCAGCAATTTGTTCTTGCAGCACAGGAATTATTTGGTTACTTCAGCCCCTAAATTCTTTATGTGCCTAGTTATATGTTAGTTTTGTATAGTGTCATCTTCTTTTTGCATTTGATACAATTAAAGTTCTGTGAAATTCAGCAGTTTAAAAACTGTTGAAAACTTGTGCACATTTGAAAACACTGATCTAGACACTGGAGGCTGTGAAGTGCCCAAGCTTTGCTTCCACGCCATGCCCTGCAAAATCAAGAAGAGCAGCCTGAAGTAAAAATTGAGTTGTCAGCAGCGTTCATCTCAGATATTCAAAAATCTTCAGTCCTTCAGGTCAAACTGCTTTTGAGATGCTCAGGGCTATTTCTGTGGTCTGAATTTGTCCACGGAGGCTGGGAGTCATGGTTCTTCACAGTCCCCAAGGATGAGCATCATCAGGCTAATATTCTGATAGTGTCACCAAAAGGCAGGTAGTGCAAGGTAGACGTTTTATGTCTAGTTGTAGCATATTTATGAGAAAGAAATGCTGCTTTCAGCTGAGGAAAACCAGCTACTTTAAAGCAGCTATAGCTTTCATTTCATCCCACTTAATAAGCATCAGCTGCAGCCATCATTCTCATAGCTGCCTCTGCAGAAGCACGAAGATCTCCACAGCTCTCTCTGCAGGGTGCTCAGCTATTCACCCTTACCTCAACATGAGACACATGTATAACTTGTTAGAAACAAGTCAGAAAAAAATGGGTCCTTTTCTAATATAGCTCTTCGTACCAATCCACATGCTGGGTCTTTTGAATCTGAAAATGTAAATCCTACATTTCTGTAAGGTTTGCTGTAACTATTCTGTCAAAATGGATTTGGGGAGAAAAGTGATTTTTTTTAATTGTGAGCTTTTTTAACTGATCATTTTTTAAATGGTGAGAATAATAATTGCTAGATTACAGTAGCAAATTTTCATAGAAAAACTTATTTCCTTCAAAAGCAGTAGCAAAGTCTATTTCTGTTGTCTCATAAAGGAGATAAAAATTTGTACAAAAAACAACCTCATCTTCAACCTGACTCTTACTATGAATTTGAGCTCCAAGGATGAAGTTGACCCTCCAGTTACAATGTTATTAGTGATAAATGGGACACGTAATTCACCCAAGAATCATTTTCTATGACTTTTCACTGCATTTTCAACAACAACAACAAAAGTAGGAGATTAAGTCCAGGCAAAGGGCGCTCTTTCTGCTTCGTATCTGCAGCCACCAAAATGACAAGTGGGTGCTTTGCAACCAGCATCGGTCTCTGGCACTGCCAGGCTAAGTAGCATTAGTCAGGATTTTGCAGTTTTCATGCCTTTATCTGTGGAGCATCAGCTTCCTACCTTCGATAATTGATCTGAGCAAAACAAAGGTCTGCCTGGACTGGAGAGGAGAGCAATGGAGACATTTGTTTCCCCAGAACAGGTAGTGTAACAAATCAGTCCTGACTGTACTGATAAATTGAACTTCAAGCTCGGTGCTACTGCTTTTCAGGCCTAATCCTGTGTAAGACACAGCAGGAAGGAAAGGCAAAGGTAACCGTTAGCATTTCTTTCTCTAAGAGGGAAAAATATATATTTTTTTCCCTTTCTCAGTGCAATATTTCAACTTTTTTTTTTTTTTTGAGGACAATGGCAAGAGAAGGGGAGAAGGGAATGTGAGGGTATGCATACACAGATGGCAAGATAACAGAAGAACTGCCCAGTGATCACTGGCTCCTTGCAAGCCTCAGACTTTGGGACAGGATCATAACTCAAGCTCCTGGATGCTAGCGAAGAAGAAGCATTGTTTATCAGAAAGATCTGGCTCACAACAGTACATGAATTACAGAGCAGTAGCACTCTAGTACACAAGGCAGAGAGGAGCTCATTGTCCAGATTCAAGGCTGGGCTCCAGGAGACAGAGGTTCTGATCAGGTCTTGACTGCATAGCCCCACGTTAAACTCATGCCTATCACCCTTTCCAGGCACTGAAGAAGTATTTGTTTTCCCTGCTTTTCTAAGTCGATGTCCCCATCTGGACATAAATCCTGAAAATGCAGAGCACGTGCAGTGAGGCTGACCAGTACCTCCTCTACCCCAGCTGCATACTTAATGTGTGCAATATCCATACCCAGAAAACCTCCAGCATATGCAGTAGTGTGTCCTGCTCTAGCTGATTAATTTGTTTGCCAGGAGTTCCTTTCAATTTCATGTCAGTATTGCTGTCGCAGTATACTTCATCATCCAGCTCCTCTTCACATGCCAACCATTATTTGCCATTCCTGTTATTTGCATCTGTCTTTTCAAAAAAAAATATAAAATAAAGTAAGACAGGCCTCTATTAGCAATACCCTGCCCAAGTCACAGCCTCACTTTTCTTTCATTTCTGTTAAATGAATAGCACCCACTGCAAAGCTCAGCATCTCTATAAATGCTGTGGTTACAAACAAATGCATCCTTCAGCAGCCTTTTAAACCATTTTTCCTACAATGCACATTGTAAATGAAGAGTAATTTATCTTCAGAATTGCCCAGAAAATGTTATTCTGTTAGCAACATAAAAGCCTCACAGTGTCTGAGTAGGTGCCATGCCAAAAACATTTTGTTGTGAGCCAGATAATTCAGTTTGAATTGTACACAGTTTGGTATAATCATTCCAGTAAAGCATTCTTTACAATTCTGTAACAGCAAGTCACATGGCTCTATAAAGTTTATTGCTGCAAATGTTTAGTGATTCATGGCATGGCATGAATTCTGCTTCTTTCCTGGATCAAGTAATCAATAGCAAAATAATCTCCTTGCAATTGCATTCCTCTGCATTAAATAGGTATGAAGTAAGTAAGCACAAAATGTGATATAAAAAACAGTGTGTACAGAATTAAAATGAATGGCTATTTGAAGCTGGGTGTCCTGAAACCCCATTTTGCACATGGGCTGAGGACATTTAAACTATGTCCTGCATACTCTCGGCCTTAAATAATTCTTGCAGAGCTGATAACACACACTGTGTAACGAATACAGTTGGGACTAACAGATTTTCACCCCATCACATCCAGCAGAGTCCTGCTGCGACCTCTGTAGTTCCACAGACACTCCCAGCCACCCAGGGCCATCCCCACTGGCACCAAGGACCATCTTTAAAGCACACAGAAAGAGCAAGATCTATGTTCCCTCAGACAACCTTTTGGTTCTTCTAGCGCTGCTCCTACACATATTAAATCAGTGTTTACAACATCACCCACTGAGTTGAGTGCAAGTTAAATCAGGCTTAGTTAGTTTGCTCCACTGTGTTCAGCTGCAAATCACAAAAGGGAGCAGAGACCTGACAACTGGGAAAGGGCACATGCTTTGTGATGAGAGCTGCTAAAATAGCCTCTCCAGGAGTCTGGCAGGATGCGACACATCTGCTCAAGGGCCTTGGATGTCCCTGCTCCCTCTATCATGTCCTGCCTCACAGTCTGAACCCTAGGGCTCCAGTGACACCACAGTGGACCACTTAATAATTGATAGCTCTATCATCTGTTATAAACAACAACAAACACAGTTACCTAGCTATCCAGTTCTAACCATTTTCTCATAAAACCTGTGAAAATAATACTGTTAGGAACAGGCTATTCAGGGGAATAAAGAGCACACAGCTGTTTATATTGTTTAATGCCTCCCGATAGGGAATACATACACTGTTGCATTTCTCTCTAAATATTCTTGTGCAGCTTCAGTGCAGTAGTAAGCATGTACCTGAGTCCTTCTCATCCCTGAATCTCATGCACTCTCTAAAACTGTATTTATGAGATTAAGCACTTAGATTCCCTAACGCTACAGCCTACATGTGCCTGCATCACTTAAAATCTCTGTCCCCCTCTCTCCTTTATGAAAAGAACTAATATCTAAATGTCCTACAAGTCTATTTGCCGAACTGCTCCCATGTCATGCTACAGAGAACATCTATTTCTTGCCAGTCTCCAGTGACTTAAAGACTATATGGGTTTACTTCTCACTATATTGTTCTTTTCAATCTGCAGAGCCAGCCCACTGCTTCTCTGAAACAGATCTGCAAGCATCACATGCTCCATCCCAGCAAAGAGCTGGAGGCCTAGTCCACAAATTAAGTTCACTTCAGTAGGGCTATGCCGACTTATAAAAGCAAAAGAGATGGTTTGAATGCTTGTAAATGACTCTCCCAAGTCATGGCTTGGTAAGAACATTCATTCAGATAGTTCCCAGAAGCACACACACTCGTGTCCTTCACCCACGGGCCTAGCAGCTACAGAACTGGGGTTTCTTTTATTAGGAGACAAGGCACTTCGGGAGGGCAGTGATAGTTTTTTAGTATCTGTTGATGGACCTGCTTTCCACCAGAGTGGTGATGCCTTTTGAGCCCGCTGATACCATCACATCCACAGAGTCCTGTGGCAGTAAGCTCCAGGCATTCATTGCTTCTCCTGTATAGAAGTTTGTCTGCCCCAGTGTTAACATATTCCCAAGCTTTGTGGCCAAACCTGCTGCATGGAATCAGTGCTGTACATGTTGCCCAACCTCCCATGGCTGTTCTCTGTTCCCTGTGCTTCTACACCCAAACATCCCTTGCACATCCACATGCTTTTACTTTCACACTGCTGCATCATAGCTCTGGAGCAATTTTGCCTGGTGGCTCTTGCACACATTTAACTGTTCAAAATGCTTTGTTAAGAAATCCTCCCAGATCTCATCTTCTCACCTATCGACAGTTGCCTTTAGGGTTTTAAATAAATACAAAAATAAAATAAAAAATAAAAATAAGGAAGAAAAATGTGGCCATCCAAGATACAGTTATTGAAGACACTTTTCCAGAGCTGCATTCTCCACTTTCTGCATAAGCAACCCCTCTGCCACTGCCAGCAGGATCCCCTGGCAAAACTATAGTGCATTTAAAGGCGTTGTGCTTCCCCAGTCTCAAAAACAAGCACGCTGCAAGAATCACTTGTGTGGGCCTAGCTCAACACTTCCCAAAAGCGTAAGGCCAATAGAGGTGCTTTAGCCACTAGCATCCCGAGCTAGGAAAGGCCCCCAGCCAGCCTCTCCATGAGGCAGCATGCTGCATAGTCCTCATTCTATCCCAGTGAACCATGACGACCAGATCTCCCCACCATGCCAAACAATCAGGGGCTGTCAGAGGAGCAGCAGCATCTCACCTAATAACATGCCTCCTGGAGAAGACCTGCAGGATGAATTCCGATTCCTGCTGAGACTCCAGAGTGGATCAAATAGACACCGTGCTCCAGGTGGAAGTCGTGAGTCCCCTCCCATTCATCGAGACTTGGTGCTTGTTCACAAGGTGATGCCAAGTGAAGAACACTGGGGACAGCTTTCTGTTGACTTCCTGGTGCTGTTAAGGGAAGAAACAGAGAAGAAATGTGTTCTGCAATAGCTGAACAAATGAACAAAAGGCACACCTTTGGCTCACCTGCAGCTAAGAGCTTATTTTGTTTAAAAATTTATCATTAGTCTTCTCTTGTTCCCTGTGTATGGGTTAACTGACTTCAGATCCCACCTACCCTGCTTCCAGAAGGGCTGAGTCTCTGTGTTTCCCAGTCACTTTACTTAAAGGTAAATCCTCAGGTATCTTCAGCACTTCCAAGGAGTAAATTTTAACAGAAAAGCTATTGCCCCAAAGAAGCTCGGTATTGCCAAGTGATCCAAGGACTCCTGCAGACCATTTCATGCCAGTCACTGCCCTATCTTTGCAAGCAACACAGCTCCTGCGATGAAAGAAGCTAGTCAAAGTACTTCAGCTGCTTACTTCTGATGTTCATGTGCAGGTTCAAGCAGGAAGAGCATGTTCTCTTGTCCATTTTGTGTTAAGGGGCATGATGTGCTACTAATTGAGTCAAGAGAGAAGGGTCATGCCCAAGGCACCCAGAAGAGCCCAAAGCACCCTTCACCATTGCAGAATCCCAGACTTCCTCCTGCTGTGCTTCCTTTAACCCATTTCCCACTCTTCAGGGAATACATCCACTCTTCCCCATTTCCCTGGCTCATCAAGTCTGCAGTTAATTTACAGATCATGAGGTCTACAAAATGCATCTTAAAATTTCACAGAGACATCTTGGGGAAAGAGCGCCAAGAGACATCTTGTCAGCAGTTTAGTTTAGTCCATATGGCTTACAAAAAGAAAAGGAAAGAGATCAGAGAACTTCAAAGCTGACTCATTCTGTGTTACACATGGCAATCCTCAAATTTTATTATGTAGTAAAGAAGCAAGTGTCTGCTCTAACAGCAGCATCTATCAGTAGCAAAAGCACAACTAAAGCTTCAGAAAAGGACAGCAGCACTGAGATTAAAATATTACCATCCACCGCATCGCAGTGAAACAACATGGGTGACAACATTGCCACCTCGTGGCACAAGCTTTGGAGAAACGACAAGAAAAAGCAAAGCAAGCAAGAACTTCACAGTTACCTTAAAAATAAGACAAAAGCTCTTGAAAGCTGTCCATGTCCCAAGAAACCCTGGGAGATGTGGTAGTGCCTTGCTTCTCCCTCACTCCTGCCATTTTAGAGCAGTGCATCTCTGCCACATCAGCACAGCCTCTCACATCATCAAGTAGAGAAGGAGAGCAAGCAAGCAACGAAGGGCTGCTCTAAAGCAGGTCACATATTACCTCGAACTAGCTGGCACAGGCTGAAATCAAAGTGCTGTTTGTAAAAGCTAAGGGCAAAACCAAGGGGTGACTAAACCCATGTGGCCTCAGATTCATGACTGAGGACATAGCCTTCCCCTATAAAAGGATGACAAATCCCTGTCTCCATGTATCTCCATGTTTATCCCTCACTGAGCACAGGCCCACTATGCCTTCAGCCATGGCAGACTCTCCGCAAGCATACTGGGTCCCATGAGATATAGCTAAACAGCTCTGGTTTTCTCCAGCAGAAACCAGAAACGCTCCCCTTCCATCAGCCAGTTCCTCCATGTGCACACGCAGCATACAAGTAGTTAAAATATGAAAATCTAGATCTGTTCTGTTGGTCATCTTTCTGTCAAAGGAAGCATAATAGGAAGAGTGTTTGGCGTAATGAAGGAAGGGGTAGGACAGTAGAAGAGGCAGCTGGGAGTCATTTAAAAGGCAGGCCTACATTACCGTGTTCATTATGCTATTCAACAGGAACAGCTGGTGTGCTGTCATCATGGGCCTGACACCCAGAGAAGTTACTGCTCTGCAGACAAGGTGAAAGTCAGTAATATTCTCAACACCTCCCTGTGCTCATCCTTCTCCTCCCTACCCCTGAGCCTCCTGCACAAATGAAGAGAAGCTGGGACAGAAGGAACATGCTCTGGTTCCAAGAGGAACAGGGCAGGTCTGGAGTTGACCGTGGACTGGAATACAAACCACTGTCTTTCATGGGTCCTGTCAAAAACATCCATGCAGATGCAAATATACAGCCCATTTGTCTCAACTTATTTCCCCTGATGTCATACCCCAAGCTGCCAGGACGGAGGACTCCTTCACAGTCACCTCGCTCCAACACTTTGCAGCATGTGGAGAACTTTGCCTGGCCCCTCCTGTGACAAAGGGCCCTGAAACGTGCTGTTTAAAGCCTCCTGAATTGCTAAACTATCACCTGTCACTTGGCACGGCATCCAGATTGCAGCAACACGGTCAGCATCTGAAGTTCACACTGTATTTCCTCTGGTATTGAAAGCACTGAAAAGCAGAACCAAACCAGTTGAAGCTGCATGTGTGAAGTGAGCCCCTCTACACAAGCACTCACTGCTGGAGAAATACAAACCTATTGAGTCATTGCTTTGAAACCAGAGGGTCTGTGCAATTTATCTTTATGTTCCTCTTCACATTAATTCAATCCTGAAGATGGCAGCATCTTTCCCCCAAGAAACTTTCCCTCCCGCTTGGCATCAAGCCTTCAATTTTTTAAACCCACCTGTCACTCCAGTCCCCTTTCCATTCAATTCTCCCCAACAGATCTCACAGTCTCACCAGTTTTTTTGGTCGATATTGACTTGTCACCTGCAGAGCACAGTAACACTGTGCTCACCAAGGTCTCAGCAGTTCTCATCTGGTTTATATCACTGCACTGTGCCAGGCAGCAACACAGATTTTGTTTGTTCTCACAAATGCTAGCAAGGATGATATTTTATTATGCTATGAACATGCAACTCTCAATGCAAGCACACAGAGATCAAGATAATTTATCTTACCTCGCTGGAAGTGAAACCTGAGACCTCACAGATTCCTAATTTGGGCGCTTGGCTGTAAATTCCTCCTCCTTTCCAACATCTGTTCATTTTGTGCTTACATGGAAGCAGAACTGTGCCGCCGTGAAAGTGAAGCAGAGTGCAATGGGAAAGCACACAGGGTGACCACACAGACTAGTGCCTCCTGAACTGAGATGCTACAGTGGGAAAAGAGGAAGCCAGGCTGACTAGGAATTATGTTGGCAGCACGCAGCTGAATGGCTGACTGCACAGCAGCTCCACCAGCTGAGCTGACCCCCTGACTCCTGCCTATTCCTTCACCCCATCAGAGGAGCTAGTTGGACTGACAGACATCGCTAACAAAGACTGTAACTAAAGCACTTCTGCTGTGCTTGGGAAGCTCTTTGGCATTTATTACTTTACTGTTCTATCCCATTACAAAGACATCTTTAGGGCGTTCCTCATAACACTTCTACAGATCAGTGGGGTCCAGCTCTGCACAGGAGTACTGTTTGATTCCCTTACTCTAGCAACTTATATTTCCTTCTGCAATTTGTCATGTTTTGGCCTTTGTATTCAATTAACTTTTCCACGCTATTGGCTCTCCTCTGACTTCAGAGGAAGGCTTTTTTACCCTGAGCAGGTTTCACCCCATCCTCCTAGCATACCAAAAGGCATACCCTTCCACCCTTAACAGCTAAGACACATTTGTAGGTGATGCTCTCAGCAGAGCTCTGTGAATAATTCCCACTCTTAGAGTTATACTGATCTTGTCAAGGTCACAGTACTCAACCAGATGCACTTGAAAGGGAGTCTTTACAAAGCTTAACGTACTGTTGCAAAAAAAAAAATAAAAATAAAAATAAATAAAAATAAATTGTTGACATGCAAATAAGCTTTGACCCAGGATGTTAGTGCTACTCTTGCCTTTCTAATACCAGTTACTGTGTTAGCATAGCCAGCAACAAGCCCATTTTTCAAGACCTTTGTTGCCTGTATACAAGCAAGAGAACCAGCAGGAAAATAAACCTTTTTTTCTATCTCTACTCACACAGCAGACTCACATCAGTCTCAGAAACATGCATCTGTGTAAGCAGTGACCCTCAAAGAATGGTTTGAATGGCAAAAGCAAAACAAAACAAACATCTGAGCTCTTAACAGACACATTTTTCCTAACAGCCATATTTTGCAGCATGTTTGGAATTGGGAGTATGATTGCAAGGGTCCTTTCATAAATTGTGGATCTTTGTCTTTTCCACTTCTAAAAAGTCTAGGTTAGATTATGATTTAGGGCTTCCCAATAGCTGAAGTATTAGTATAAGGCTTGGGAGCAAAGATTTGAATTTATGTTCTGAACCACACCCCTCTCTGGTCTTGGCTATAAGCTTATTCCATGAGTCTGTGTCTAAAAACCAGTTCCTAAACACAATGGAGCTGAGGGCAGCAGAGAACCAATCCACGGTCAATCTTTAACCTTAAGAATGTGATTTCTTCGGGAAGCCACATGTGGCAACTTTGATACTTTATAGTAGTAACAATGACTAGCCGAGCAGAGGCAAACATGTCTGGAAAGGCTTTTAGCTGTGAAACCATTTGATGTCACACTAAGTCTTACCCCTAAACACATCTGGCAGCCCATGAGAGATCTGCTGTAGGTTGCACTTCTCAGGGTATCCCTCAGATCAGGAGGAGCTACTGCAAGCTTGATCCTTCGATTAACACCACCTGTGAAATCCACAAAGGTGTCTGAAATTTGCCCAATCTGCAGATCTTCATAGGCAAAAGATCTTCATAGGCAAAAGATCATAGGCATAGATCTTCTAGACAAAAAATATATCAATATATTCTTAGGCTTATAGTCAGAAGATAGGTTCTTTAATAACTCTGCCTTGCCAAATGTTGCCTGAGGATTTCACCATTCCTTGAAAGCTCAGTCTCCAAAGTGATTTTCTTCACTGTTGCAGAGGAAATTTCTCTTTTTGTTATAATGCTACCAAGTGAAAATAACTGAAGTTTCTCTCCTTCTGTACAATCTTTCTCTCAACATTAACTAGGACTTTTCCCTGCTCTGCTAATTTTAACATGTTCAGATTATTTTAGCCTATGACTAACAAATTCCATCAGTTATGACTTGTTGCCTTATTCTTAGTCCCAATAAACCACTCTAAACAAAACAACCCAAAGAGAAAAGGCAGTATTTTCAGCATACCGTGTGAATGGTTGAATGCTTTAACAAGTTAAAGGTTTTGTAAGACCCCAGAGTAGATACCTCTACCAAGACCAAAGCTGAATTTGTCTATACATCCCCAAAATCAACCTTCTTGCTCTGAGGACAATCCCCCAGGATATATTTGCTTTCATTTATATCCTAAACCTTAGGATTTAAACTCAAGGGCCTGAATTAGCAACAGTTACTGCAGTGTGAGCTTTTACTGTTTAAAAATAGAAAGATGAGAACCATTTGCAACGCTCCAAATGTGGCAAGGCCTAGAAGATGCTTTTATAAACAAAAACACATAGCCACAAAACAATGTGATTCAGACAGACCATTTGCATGACTTGGAACGAATCACTTAGCATATACCTTCTCCAGAAGGGTTCCCCAGAACACATTCTTATAGACTGAAAAATAATAAAACTAGCTTTTATCATCAACCACCTCAACCCATTCACGATGTGACAGAACTGTTGGGGGAAAGGAACAAGACCACGTTTCCCTTACAAGGAACATCCCTTTGAAGCAATGGGAAAGGAAGAGTTGCTTAGCAGTGGGATCAGGTTGAGCTGTCTTGGGAGAGGACTGCATTAGATCAGTGGGAGGTACTGACACCCACAGATCCAACTCATCAGCCTCACCCAGATGGAGGAGAAAATGAAGCGTGTGTCAGGTGTAAAAGAATATTAAATAGCGAAATTAGGCAAAACAGGGCTTTTGGGGAAGGAGTTCCCAACTGCAGGCTGCAAGAGCTGAGCAAGACCGTAAATTTGGGAAAATATGTTCAAGCCCCATTGACTTCTGCCAGCACGTAAGACTTTTGTCTGGATTAAAATATGGATAGGGCCTAGCTGGAGAGAAGTGCCAAACTAAGGCATATGCTCAGACTGGTTCAGAGCGATGATCCTTCAGGTCAAGATATCCCCTAGCCACTTGCTCTTGACCAAAGGAAACCCTGTGGAAATTATCTAGGGGTGTGACACAAAGCATGACAGAGGATTTCTGAAGACCTCCTAAATCCTCAGGAAGCAAATGTACCTGGAAGTGGAAAATACCAACATATTTCCTCCAAAATGTTGGTTTTGTGGCACTACTGGAGCCCTGATGGAATGTCAGGGCTTCCAGGGCCACCAAGCACCAGCAGTTCTCTGTGCCAAGACAAATGGAAACGTGGCTGGCAGAAAAACAAGACCTGCCAGCTAAGTTCAGAGCACCATGAAGATACCAGAAGTGCTATTGTGCTGATGTCTTTATAATGAACCATGCATATAAAATGTGACAATCCATATATGTGCTTTATTTAACCAAACCATGATTGTTCTATAATTCTTCTTTCATGATCTTTTCATTTGGATACTATTTGTTTAAATAACAAATTTAACAAGAACAACCTGTCAGTGGAAACATTGTTTTTTACTGGAATTACACATTTTTTATGTTGTTTATAAAATTACACTATTTAAAAAAAAAAAAACTTTCCCTTTTTCCTTTGAAAGCATTCACTTTTTCAGATGAGAAAAATAATTTCCAACGGATCTTCCAGGCAAAGCTGCACTTTGTATTTAAGGGCTTAAAGTAAAATTAAAACTTAATAAGAACCAATTTGGTCCTGCCCTACCTGTTTTGGAGATGCCAGTATGTTCTTCTACCTCAGGTAACATGGT